GGACCTTGACCCTCTGAACCACAAAATGAATAACCCTCTTTTTCTTTTTCTTTTTCTTTTTTCTTTTTTTTTTTTTTTTACAGGTTTTTGCCATAGAGCATGTACACTTGCCAGAGAGAAAGAGAGAAAAAAACGAACACAGTGAGAGGAAAATTGAGAAATCACCCCCATGGGTAAGGCCACACAATCCCTTCTCCTTCAATCTCCTCCTGGGATTTTGGGCATGCACGCATACACACCTAGTATAAGTTTGAAGCCACCAAGACCAGGATGCGAACTGCGGTCAGATATGTGGGAGTTCAGCGATGTAACTGCTATGCCATCTTCTGGTCTCTAAAACTCTATTTTTATAAGTTAAAAGAAAAGAAAAGGAACAAGTACTGATATAGCGATAATATGGATGAAACTTGAAATATTACATTAAGTGGGAGAAGCAGACACAAAAGAGTGCATGTTGTATTACTCCGTCTATGAGATCGGCAGAACAGACAGCTCTATAGGCAGGAAGTAGATTGGTGTTTGCCAGAGACTGGGGACTAGAGGAACTCTGGGGTGATGGTCAAAAAGTGCACGGCTTCTTACGGAGTAATTGAAATATTCTAAGTCTGGTTTCGATGATGGATGCATAACCTGTAATGTACTACAGTCATTAAATTGTATACTTTAAATGAGCAAATTTTTTATGGTATGTGAATTATCATTCAAAGCTGTTGAAAGAAAAGTAGGAAGGAAGGAAAGAAAGAAGGGAGGGAAACTGTTATGAGCCTGTTTTGTCTCAAGTTCACACTGCAAGCTTCTTGACTCAAGGTTATAGCAAGTTCAAGCTCAGCAAGTTCCCACCTCTTGAGCCCCACCCTCCATGTCACCTAGGGAAGTGCCCAGGATTTTAAGTCCTTTTTACTCCAGGACTTAAAAAAAAAGAAAAGGTATTTACATTACTCCAGAACTTAAAAAAAAAAGTATTTACATTTTCCAGAGTTTGCCTGAATCTACCCATAGGAATCTATTTAAAGAACTCAAATTATCCCAGCCAATAGGAGGGAGAGTTTAATCTATGATTTTAAATTTAGTCCCCATTTCTTTGACAGTAGGAAGGAAAGAAATCTGGTTAAGAAATTGCTCTGATGCCTGCTTTTTTGATAACAGCCTTCCTTTGGACTTACTGATAGGAAATTTCTGATTATTCAGCCTGGGCAGGACTCAAGATATTACTGCAAAAACGCTATCTCCAATAAGGAGTTTGTTAAGCAAATTGACATCATGAATGTGCTCTCAAGGACTCATTACAGCTATTTTAAAAAACAAGTTGTTTCTGAAGTTCACCAGATGAAAGCATAGATGGAGCTAGAAAATACAAATGTCCCTTCTAGCAGGCTCTCTGTCTGGAGACATGGTTCAGGAGCTGGAGTTAGTTTCTGTTGTTGGAAGGATTAAAATAAAATTATAAACCAATTTCTTTTAAATGATCAAAATAAAAATGACGAGGCCGGCAGGTGTCTGTCATGGTGGTTAAAGGTGCTGGACTCCCACATGGTCAACCATGGTTCAAGTTCCGCACCTGGTGGCTTGCTTTCTCACTTTCCTTTTCTCTCTGTCTCTTTCTGGTCAAATTGAAAAATAATAATAAATAAAGTTAAAATATAAAATAAGATAATATAAAATAAAATAAAAATGACGTATCTTCTAAAACCATTTAGTTCCTCTTTTCACTTATTCAGAATGGGTTTTTCCACAGATCAAGTATCTCTTATCCAAAATGCTTGGGACCAAAAGTGTTTTGGACTTGGGTTTTATTTGAATTTTAGAATATCTACATATACATAATGAAGTATCTTGAGGATAGGACCCAAGTCTAAACACAAAATGCATTTATGCTTTCTATACACTTTGCACACATAGTCATAAGGTAATGTTAGACAATATTTTGTATTGCAGCATTTTGACCGTGACCTGTCACATGAAGTCAGGTGTGGACTTTTCCACTAAAAAGTTTTAGAATTTGGAACATTTTGGATTTTCAGATTAGGGATGTTCAACCTGCACTAATAACTAATAAGTTAATGAACATCTTATTCTGCTTCATTAGTTTTTTTAAAAAATATTACATGCACACACCCAAGAGAGGTGGTTTGTACAGCGGTTACAAGTGTGGACAGTAAAGCCAGGCTCTCTGGGTTTAAATCCTGCTCTGCCATTTACCCAGGTACTTAACCTCTTTGTGCCTCCTCATCTCTTCTGTAAAATGGGATAGCAATAGCTCTTGCTTCATAGATGTTCTGAAGGTTGAATTAGTTCATATAAACATAAAGCACATTGAATAGTGTCACGTGCTGTGTATAGGTCATTGTCCTGACTTCAGCAACCAGGCACTGGGCCGAAAACAAATTAATCTTAATCACTCCACCTCACTTTGTTGTATCACCTTGGGAATTTGTGTTTGTAAAACAGCCCAAGCTTTAAGACCATGGAGGGATTAAGCTGGTGCTTTCTCAGCAGAATTGTGAGAACAGTGTGTATGACCCATGGATTAAAGAATGGAATAGGTAATTAAGACTAAGTTTAAAGATTTTTAAAATTTTATACACCATTGTGAACAGCTAAATGGGTAGTGAATACAGGTGGAAAGCACTGAATAATTGACTTAGATAGGAGTACCACTATCTCGTTTTGCTGACGTCCTCTTTAAACCTCATAACATAGTGACTCCCTAGGGTGGAATGAATACTGCTGGTGTCACACCTCCTACAGGTGCGCTCACTCTTTTGTTTATTCTGTAAGGTTTTCTCACACCGACCAGGGGGCAAACCATTGTTTATGCTGCAAGTTTGAAATAATACTAATTTTTAAAAACAAATTTAAAAATATAGACACTTACTCATTGGGCCACAACAGTAAAGCAAAGTTCCCTGCAAGGTTGGAGGCCACATGGTGACCATGAATTTGGAACCCCAGGTTGGCATGAAAATATGCCAGAGTTGTGTCACACAGGCACCCAGAATTTGGAGGAGCTAAAGTAAAGAGGTTAAAGGAAGGGGGGCTGTGGCATGATGAGACCCTGTCAGAGGTATTTCTGTCTCTCATGAAAGCATCTTCTCTTTATCATAAAGAAATGCAGGTATAGCTGGAACTGAGGCAAAGAGCAGTAACTTGCTGAGCAACTGGATGGATCTGAGGGCCACAGTCTGATGGGGTGCGTGATCTGATGCATTGAGACCACTACCACAGTGTCCTGAGGGCATCAAGGCTCCCTGATTAGGAATGAGACAGGTAGTTGGTTTTGCTCACACCAAGGTGGCAGATGGAACGCAGCGGGGAACACAGACCTGGGCTGGAATCCAAGTGGAGCCCGTTTATACAAGGGGCCAGGCAAACCGAAGGTTAGTCAAACATTCAGAGCTGTTTTGCTTCCTCTATAAAACGGAGGGAATAGCATTCTATTTTATTTGCAATAACATATACTGCATTGGTTATCTGTTGCTGCACTGGAGACTTAGTGGTTTAAAACAACAAGTGTTTATAATCTCACAGTGTCTACAGGTCAGGATTCCAGGCATGGCTTCACAGAGTTCTTCTGCCTCAGGTCTCAGGAGGGTGCAGTGAGGTGAATCTCCTGGGGTAGTGTTGCAGGAATGACAGTGACACTGAAAAGATAGCTTCCCACGGCGTGTAGAGCCCGTATTTAGAAGGAGCAGGTTGGTGTCTTCTGGGGCCAATGAGAAAAGGCACCCTAGTGACATGGGAGCTTCTTGTCTATGGAGCCTGCCACATGATGGAAAGTGCCCATGGATTTTTTTTTTTTTTCTTGAGGTACCTGGGCTTTGGATATGAGCAGGTCTAGTCCTCCAGCATCAGGTGTCCCTTGCTCCCGGTTCCAGGCAATCCAACATTCCTGTGACAATTGTTCCAGGTCTCCACTTCTGCAGTGTCTGTACTTGTCTCTACCCAAAGGCTGCACTGACTCGTGGAGTCCATCACCTCGTGGCACATGCTTAGTGACTTAATTAGATTTGTCTTTCAGCTTCTGCAGCCAATTCTCAGTTCCTCTTTGTCTCACTCTTAAATTTCTGTCTCCTCTCAATTTGGCCCAGCAGCCCGACCTTCTTCACAGCAATCTGCCCTGGTGGAAAGGACTAGTCTAGACATGCAGATATATTAGACCTGAAACTCCCATGTCCTTCTTTCTTCTGCACTCGGGCAGAATGTAGACAAAACTAAAGGGGAGTTTTTCACCACTCTTAGTACCCTGTTCTTTTCTCACCACTCATAGCAAAACTAAATCCAGCCTGTAATCTCTCTTTCTCATAAAATGGGATGTGATTTTTATCCTTTTATCCCTCCACTTTTTTTTTTTTTTTGAGAGAGATTTTCGCTATAGGGCGCGTGCGCTCGCCAGACAGACAGAGAGAGACATAGAGACAGAAAGCGAGAAATCACCCCCCAGGGGGGATGGTCATGCCGCAATCCCTTCTCCTCCATTCTCCTCTCGGGATCATGGGCACGCACGCACACGCGCCCGGCGTGAGTTTTAAGCCACCGGGTCCAGGACGCGAACCACGGTCGACTACGTGAGAGTCCAGCGACATAGCCATTACACTAACTGCTGGTTCCCTATCCCTCCACTTTTAAAAGTAAAAATAAAACACGACCCTAGCCAAGATTATGATGGCAAAGAATTCTGCTAGGGATACACTTTTACTAATTTTTAATTTTGAAATAATTTAGACTTACAGAAAAATTGCAAAAATAGCACATGTAGTTCTAGTATACTGCTCACCCATTGGCTCACAGTGTTACTATCTGGCATAACCATAGTACAATGGTCAAAACTAAGCAATTACCATTGGTGCAAGACTATGGACTTTAGAGGGATTTCATTAATTTTTCCACTAATATCCTTTTCCTGTGTTCCAGAATCCTAATGAGGATTCTATATTTAATTTAGTGTCATGGCTCTTGTATTAATTTTCTGTGTCGTATAAACAATTTATCACACATTTAGCTATTTAAAAACAGCACAAATTTATTTTGTCACAGGAGTCTCATGGAGTCATAGCTAAGTCCTCTGCTCAGGGAATCACAAGGCTGTAATCAATTGTCTAACAGGACTGGGTTCCCTTCAGGAGCTTCAAATGGAGAAGGATCCTCTTCCAAGCTCTCTCAGAGTATTATCGGAATTAGTTTCCTTGTCGTAGGGTTCACAGCAGCTTGCTTTTCCAAAGCTGGAAAAGTAAAGAGTGACTGTATTGCAGTGTTATACTCTTACAAAACCACATTCACATATGCATACTCTCCCATGACCTTTACAGCATTCTGTCGGTTAGAAACAAGTCATAGGTCTTACCCATTGCAAGAGGAAAGATGACACAAAAGCATAAATATCAGAAGGTTGAGGTACCTGGGCTTTGGATATGAGCAGGTCTAGTCCTCCAGCATCAGGTGTCCCTTGCTCCCGGTTCCAGGCAATCCAACATTCCTGTGACAATTGTTCCAGGTCTCCACTTCTGCAGTGTCTGTACTTGTCTCTACCCAAAGGCTGCACTGACTCGTGGAGTCCATCACCTCGTGGCACATGCTTAGTGACTTAATTAGATTTGTCTTTCAGCTTCTGCAGCCAATTCTCAGTTCCTCTTTGTCTCACTCTTAAATTTCTGTCTCCTCTCAATTTGGCCCAGCAGCCCGACCTTCTTCACAGCAATCTGCCCTGGTGGAAAGGACTAGTCTAGACATGCAGATATATTAGACCTGAAACTCCCATGTCCTTCTTTCTTCTGCACTCGGGCAGAATGTAGACAAAACTAAAGGGGAGTTTTTCACCACTCTTAGTACCCTGTTCTTTTCTCACCACTCATAGCAAAACTAAATCCAGCCTGTAATCTCTCTTTCTCATAAAATGGGATGTGATTTTTATCCTTTTATCCCTCCACTTTTTTTTTTTTTTTGAGAGAGATTTTCGCTATAGGGCGCGTGCGCTCGCCAGACAGACAGAGAGAGACATAGAGACAGAAAGCGAGAAATCACCCCCCAGGGGGGATGGTCATGCCGCAATCCCTTCTCCTCCATTCTCCTCTCGGGATCATGGGCACGCACGCACACGCGCCCGGCGTGAGTTTTAAGCCACCGGGTCCAGGACGCGAACCACGGTCGACTACGTGAGAGTCCAGCGACATAGCCATTACACTAACTGCTGGTTCCCTATCCCTCCACTTTTAAAAGTAAAAATAAAACACGACCCTAGCCAAGATTATGATGGCAAAGAATTCTGCTAGGGATACACTTTTACTAATTTTTAATTTTGAAATAATTTAGACTTACAGAAAAATTGCAAAAATAGCACATGTAGTTCTAGTATACTGCTCACCCATTGGCTCACAGTGTTACTATCTTGCATAACCATAGTACAATGGTCAAAACTAAGCAATTACCATTGGTGCAAGACTATGGACTTTAGAGGGATTTCATTAATTTTTCCACTAATATCCTTTTCCTGTGTTCCAGAATCCTAATGAGGATTCTATATTTAATTTAGTGTCATGGCTCTTGTATTAATTTTCTGTGTCGTATAAACAATTTATCACACATTTAGCTATTTAAAAACAGCACAAATTTATTTTGTCACAGGAGTCTCATGGAGTCATAGCTAAGTCCTCTGCTCAGGGAATCACAAGGCTGTAATCAATTGTCTAACAGGACTGGGTTCCCTTCAGGAGCTTCAAATGGAGAAGGATCCTCTTCCAAGCTCTCTCAGAGTATTATCGGAATTAGTTTCCTTGTCGTAGGGTTCACAGCAGCTTGCTTTTCCAAAGCTGGAAAAGTAAAGAGTGACTGTATTGCAGTGTTATACTCTTACAAAACCACATTCACATATGCATACTCTCCCATGACCTTTACAGCATTCTGTCGGTTAGAAACAAGTCATAGGTCTTACCCATTGCAAGAGGAAAGATGACACAAAAGCATAAATATCAGAAGGAGGGCCCATCGGGGGCTGCATGAAAGTCTGTCCACCACTGCTTAGTCTTTTTCCATCTGTGACAGTTCTTTAGTCTGTCTTTATCTTTCATGACCTTGATCCTTTCCAACAGTACTGATCAGTTAGTTTGTAGAATGTTCTCAATTGAATTTGTCTGATGTTTCCACATTATCAAATTGAGGTTACAAAATTTTGGCAAGAGTACACAGAAACACTTTGCCTTTCTCGGCACATGAGCTATCAGGAGGTACATGGTGTTGGTGTCTTGTTATGTCAACCCAAATCGTAAGGGTAAGGTGGTGTCTGTTGGTTGATGGACTGTAGAGTTATTATTATGTGCCCTTTGTAATTCACAAATATCTTGAGATGTAAACTTTGAGACAGTACAAGTATCATGTTTCTAATTTGAGCTTTAATCCACAAATTTAAGTGTTCATTTTTTTCTCAGCAATTATTATTGTGATGGCTTAATGTTAAGAAACATTCCCCTCACTCTTTTTCCATTTTCTATTTAGAATCCCTCAAAAAGAAACAATTTGGGGACCAGCAGATGGCGTAATAGTTCTGTCACTGGAGTCCCATTTGGTTGACCATGGTTCGAGTCCTGGACCTGGCAGCTTAAAACTCATGCCAGGTGCGTGTGCATGCATGCCCAAAATCCTAAGGGGAGAATGGAGGAAGAGGGATTGTGGAGTGAGCATTGACCCTGAGGGGTGATTGCTGAATACTCGCTTTTTGCCTCTCTTTCTCTCTCTGGCAAATGCATGCACCTATAGCAAAAAAAGGAAAAGAGAAATAAACATTTGTTTTTCTCCCTGATTTATTTACTTATTTATCTATCTGCTTGTATCAATAAGAACGTGGATATTTTATTCTGTGGTTTATAATCCAATGCTATCACAGATTTTTGTGGCTCTGATTTGTTCTAGCTTTGGCCATTCTTTCAAGCTCTTTTGACATGCCTTCATTATTTTTTTTGTTAAATACTTCCTTACTTTCTGGCCCATACTCATGTTTTATTCTTCTTGCTCCAGTTTTAGAATCAAGGAGCCCATCTATGATTTTATTTTAATTGGAGAATGACATTTAGAAATCAAGATCTGAGCTATAGGTTTATTGCAACTGGATTGTCATTGCTTTTAGACTCTCTCGATGGACAGAGCCAGGAAATAGAAACATGCATCTTAACACATTCATAGACACACATCTGTGTCTATTTCCAGATCTACCTGTATGTATACCTATATGTATTTTTTAAATGTCTTATTTAAATTTATTTGTTTATGTTCATTCACTGTACATCATTACAGCATACAGAATGAGATTTTCCATCCAGAGTACACTGTATATTGTCTCAGTCAAGCACATCAACATACATGTTATTGTCAACAAATAATTTTTCATTTCTAGTTTCCTGTATGTTTTGCTTTTTTCCCCCATCCTTGATTCCCTATCTCTTACCCTCTGCCATCTCCCACTCTCTTCCCACACTGTCTCTGGTATCTGTATTTACTTTCTATACTGTTTCCCCCCATTTTTTATTGAATTACTAAAGATCTTAATTAATCTAAATATTTTCATAGCAAACACAGCTGATATATACATTTCCATGAACACAAGTCTAACTTTAGGCATCCTATAAAGTAGCACCTAGCTGGGACTATATATCTTACTGCAGTCATCGAATGGATTTTTCTTTTTTCTGAAACTTTTCTTTTTTTTTTTTTTTTTTTTTTAAATTTTTTTTCATTCTTT